ACCTGGATCACCCTGAACGAACCTCAATCAACATGCTGGGGAGGGTAAGTACCTTCCTAAGAGTAAGTAGTACCACAGATTGAATATACTATATGTATACACAGATAAAAAATCTTACCCCTAATTCATGGTTTTGATTGTTTTTATGACGATGTGCAAACGATTAAAATTTCCTGTGCGCAATAATAAACTCGCGTAAAATAACAATAAACAGCGTAATAGAGATATCGCTAAACCGAATAGCGTGCATGGACGTTAATAAGGCCAGGTGTTATTTCCTTTACGTGAGATGGTATTAACTCGCTTTATTTTTATAGTTACCGGATCGGAAAGAATTCTGTTCGCGTCGCGTCCGCTATTTAAACTTAACCTAACTTTGAATTTAAAACTTTGAAATTGTTTTGTTTACTAGGTATTTTAAAACTAAAGGGCTAAAGTGCTTATTTCCAGTGCTTTATTGTTCAACGTCCGCTAGTGGGTTTAGGGCAACAAGCAACAAATTCTCTTAGAAGGGCTAAGTCGTCATCTGCTGTAAACCTAAGCCTCTTTATAGGTTCTTTAATATTGAAAGAGGTGGAATCCATATTTTGGGCCATATTTATTTAATTAAAACTAATCCTAGCTACTTAAATATCAAATTACCTAATAAAACTAAAGTAATAATTCAAAACAATTCAAACATAACCTAAAATAAAAGATCTCGCCAGCCGGCCCCGGTTGTCAAATACCCGCACATGCTCATTTAAGCAATTTTAAACGTTATTTAGAAATAGCGCTTGGTGTGATTGATCCGCAAATTACGTCAGGCGGTAACGTTATTAGCGGGTGTTGCGTTAAAAATTGACTCGCGCATATCGCAACCATGATAAGGTACGCGTAAATACTGCATGACGCTATTCGGTTTTCCGATATCTCTCTAATAATTGTGCCGGTCAGGCGCTGTGCAGAATTTTAGAGGCCATAAGTGGGCGTGCTATGTGCGCAAACTAGTCACCTAACTAGTGCCCGATTCCGAAAATTGGAACCACGAAAAACAACAAAGAAAAAACAAAATTTATAATCTGTATAATCTGTGGTAGTACTCTAGGAATGTAAATAAAAATTTCTGGGAATGTTCGGTTATTTTTTTACACGTATTTAACGCTATATTGTCGTTTTTAGGTACGACTCTGGATCAAAAGCTCCTGGATATACTCTGGCAGGTCTAGGATTATACGAGTGTGCTTACGTGCATGTCCTGGCACATGCCAAAGCGTACCATATCTACGATAATGAGTTTAGAGCACAACAAAAAGGTACCTACGTTTAATAATTAATAACAAAATTTAAATTATTTAATAAATATAACAAAATGTTTTCTTTAAGGAAGAATATCTATAGTAATCGATTCACCGTGGGCTGAAGCAGCTTCAAACTCTTCTGAAGATGTAGAAGCAGCTCAAACTGAGAGAGAATTTGTTGTAAGTAGTTGTATGGTAAAGGAAATTTAAATAGGAACAAAAAATCACCTCAATTAACACCACAGCAGACACCAAGAATGCAGAAGAAACACCAGAACACCTCATTACTTATTAGAGATGGAGAACTAACCTCTGTAAAACCGTCTCAGATACTGGCTTTTGTCAAAGTCCTGAGACTGTATGATGAGTTGTAACTTTAGAAAGGGGGCCTCAACCCAAGTAGCATTTTCACGACTTGCGATCACATGTTTACTAAACACTACGTTGGATTAGTTACAAAAAATAGTTAGCTCCGTACCTTGGGTATTAAAATAAATGTAAACGTTGTTGTAACGTTGTGCCGACGTTGAACTAGTACTACAACAAAGTAAAAGCTTCTGCGACGTCGAATAAACGTTGCCTTGTAAGCTTTTTTGCTTAAGTGATCTTTAAGTGATTCGGACAACGTAGTTACAATGTTGGGCAATAAAGTGTTTTCCGACGTTACTTTCAGGACCTATTCCAACGTTATGCAAACGTCGTCTGTTTTACTAATTCCAACGTTGTTTAGATTTCCTTATTCTTACGTTGGTAGGACGTCGAGCCACTACCTTTTTGCAACTGTATTGAACCATAACCTTAAATATTATTTTTTTTTGTTTTTATAAAAAAAACTTAATTAAAATGGAACATTTTAAGGTACATATAAAACTAAATTTAAATATATATCGACATATTACCGATATTTTATCCACTCCCTCGTTTATTTAGAATATAGAGGGCGGCACAAGCTAGACTCTAGGATGACTAAATTAGGCAATCTTGCGACTAGTATACTACCTGTTAAGGCTGAACTGCGACTTTATTAGTCCAGTATGCGACTACTCGAACTACTCCATCTTAATCTCCAAAACAACAAAGTGAAAGCCGCCATGTTGTTGAATAAGAAAATGTTTCGTTCGAAAATAGCAATTCCTGCTTTTTGAATACATTAATTTGAAATATTTGACCCTAAACAACACGCGGAAACAATTTTTCGACTGCGAATAAATTATTCTCATTTACTAAAAAAAATTCAAGAAAATGTTTAAAACTTCTTTAATTTTAAGGCCCATTAGTATTTTTCAAAGTAGAAACAATACATTTATCAATAAAGTTGTTTGCGTTTAACTTTTTTGCCTTGGGTAACGAGTTACAGAGAGTCGGTTAAAGTGTTTCAATAATTATGATCTTCAAACATCCTCCACGCTTAAATACTTACGATACTTCCGACGTTGCGCCCCGACGTTTGGTCGCGTGACACAACGTTGTCCCGACTTCCAATTGCTGCTTGGGAATAGGTCTATAAGATTGCTGTGATTGATTTATTATCATTTTGCGTCTAACATTATCATGTTTTTAAAAATTTAAATCATTCTTAATACGTTTTCTTCTTTTAGCTTGGACTGTACGCTAACCCAATCTACTTAGGCAACTGGCCTCAGTTGTTATAGATATGTGGCTACAAGGAGTGAATTGGAAGGTTTTGCCCAATCAAGACTTCCTCAATTCACTCAAGAACAAATTGATTATATCAACGGTACTGCTGACTTCTTTGGACTCAATACGTTAGTATCCTTATCGTTTATTATTGTTATTATTATACAGGGTCCGGCAAAAGTGCGTCGTACATCTGTAGCTCCTAGAATAAAAAACTTGGGAAGTGCAAACCTAAAGTATGTACTGGGATGTATTTCAGGTAAATATTTTAACATCTACAGTGTGGCTCAAAAAAAAGTTAGTGGATCGGGATGATTTCTTTTAAATGGAACACCCTGTATATTATTGAATTTTTGACTTCCTTTCAGATCACTTTACATGATCTGAAGATATGAGTAAATATATTTCGATATCTTCAGAGGTATTAATATATATAAATAAAAAATATTATTTTTCAGTTTTTCCTAAAAAAATTATTACAAATACAAGAACTGTCCTAAAATCAAAACTATATTAGGTATTTACTTTAGATGTAATCTTAAACCATACAGGGTGTTCAAAATTTTACGCGAAACTTTTTAAATTATAAAATAATAAAATTTTTCTTTTTTCTTTTTCTTTTCTGTATGTATGTTTTTTTTAACACTGTATATTGTTTTTTTTTTATTAGATGGAGAATTAAAAAATGAACAACCCTGAGTCCTATATGATGTTAAGATATTCTCGATCTATTTTCAATCCTTTATTTGTCCACTCTAGTTGACGAAAAAATTCTTCTAGTGTTGTTATAAAACTATAAACATTGGAAGAAATCTTCCAAAATAAATCAATGCACACATACAGGGTTGTTCACCACATACTACACGGAGTATTGTAGCTAAACGATTAGATTTTTATAAATTTTAAATTTTGGGTTTGTTATAAATAATATAAACCCAAAACTTAAATTTGTAAAAATCTAATCGTTAACTAATACTCACATGTCATATGACGAATTTAACCCTGTAATACAATTAATTATGTATATTATTGACAGATATGGAACAAATTTGATAAGCCACTAAACAAGCCAAATGAAAACATAGGCGTACCCAATTACGGTTTAGATAAAGGTACAAAAATAAATTAAAAGAAACTCTATAAAAACACTATTCGTTTTAAGGTACGTCATCTTCAGTGGACCCGTCCTGGCCCTCAGATGTCCCATGGGTCCATCAAGTACCATGGGGGTTCAGAAAATTGCTGAAATACGTTTATGAGCAGTATAATCATCCAGAAATTATCGTCACCGAAAACGGTTGGGCTGACAAGACTGGCACTTTGGCAGATATTGATAGACAGTCTTATATAACTGTAAGAATCAGAGAAATAAGTACACGTAAAGTAGTTTTAAAATATTACTTGGATATAACATTTTTTTAGCAATATTTGAGTGCTTTGCTGGATGCTTACTATGAAGATGGCGTCAATGTTACAGGTTATACTGTTTGGAGCTTACTGGATAATTTTGAATGGACTAATGGTTACACGTAAGCTTTTTTAACAAAAATTTTTAATGTATTTTTTTTTTTTAATTTAATTTTTTATATTAACAGTCAAAAATTGGGTCTTGTACAAGTGGATTTTGAAGATGCTAACAGAACTAGAACACCAAAAGATTCTTATTATTGGTTCCAGAACGTAATCAAAACCAAATGCTTAGTAGAAGAATGTCTTTAAGAGCATAGCATGTACAATGTAAAATAAAAATAAATTTTATTAAGAAATTACACTATCCTCACTTATTTATATGTCCTTAAGAGATACAGAAATAGAAATAAAAAAGAGTATTAAACTATAATGATAAAATCTCTTAAACAACATTAAAAATAGAAATTTTAAGTATTATTACAATCATTCCAGATAATAATTTTTAAACCTATAAATACGAGAGTCCTAGTAAAGTGTTATTATTATTTATTATAATTTAGTTCAAACATGAAGTCATTCAAGACTATTTTTGTTTGTTGTGTCATCTCCGGTAAGTTCGAGTTATTATCTCCATATATGTTTCCCTGTTTTCTTTAAAAAATATAAGTAAATATGTTCAGCAATCAATTTTTGCTCGTTAATTGATAATATAGTAATTAAGATAAATAAAAATTCTTTACGCAAAGTTGCTGGGCGATTGGAGAGGTTTTGGTGACATTTCCAACAGAAATTCCCGAGACATTTTATTTGGCGCCGCCACTGCTGCGCACCAGATTGAAGGTGCCTGGGACGAAGATGGCAAAGGACCAAGCATGTGGGACAAATTTGTTCACGACAATCAAAGTAAATAAGTAAATATTACACATTATTATAGTCTAAGATTCTGTTTATCACAGGCAGGACTGCAGATGGTCAAAATGCTAATATAGCTTGTGATTCCTATCACAAATGGAGCGAAGATATCGAAATCATGAAACGATTGGGACTTAGCATTCACAGGTTCTCAATTTCTTGGCCTAGGATAATGCCAAATGGTACACCAAACAAAATTAACCAAGCCGGTATAGACCACTACAAAACCTTCATTAATGTGAGTACAACCCTGTATAAAATACGATTTTCCATCATTTTTATTCATGTATAGGCTCTTAAAGAAGCTGGAATTGAACCACTGGTTACCATGTACCATTGGGATCTACCCCAGTATCTTTACGAACTAGGAGGATGGTTGAATGAGGATATCGTGAATTATTTTGGTGATTATGCCAGAGTGCTGTTCAAGAATTTTGGTGATGATGTCAAATTTTGGGCAACATTGAATGAACCCAAATCAACATGCTTGGTTGGATATGGAACTGATGTATGTAACATTCTATAGATATTAAAGTAATACGTATTAAACATCAGATTAAAAACAAGTATGTCTTAAAAGATATAACATTAGTAAAATTTTGTATAAATTTTAAGGTTCTCATTTCTAATGTTTAGACGGCTGCCCCTGGTTTGAATCTTGTCGGAGATGGAGTTTACAGATGTGCCAAAGTTCAGTTGCTTGCCCATGCCAAAGCTTACCATATCTACAAGGATGAATTTGCTGCAACACAAAATGGTAATTTCACACTTTCATTTGTATTTGTGTTGTTTATATTGCTTATAACACACAGTAGTTGTCAAAACATGTGAGTTAAAATACTAGGGGATGTAGAACAAGGCATTTATATCTTTAATGTCGATGGAACATGGCATCAAGGGCACACAATTTAACCAGGAATGTCATACATAATATGTATTTTTAATATGTTCAAAAATTTGGCTAGATGGTATCTAGAGATCTTATCATTAAAAAAATATATTAATAACTATCTGAAACGACTGAAAATATACTTGTCGTATGCAGAATTTCATATTCTATCAGAGTATGTCTTAGTTTGAACTGAAATGTCAATAGTGTTGAGGTAGAGCCCGGGAGAGACAGCGGTAGTTTTGTTTATTTTGTTTTAAGGCTAAAAAAAAACAGAACCAGTATTTGTACCGTTGAAAAAAATATTAACAAAATTCTAAAAGAGTTAAAACTATACCTGTCATATGCAGAATTTTATATTCTATCAGAATATGTCTTAGTTTGAGCTGAAATGTCAATAGTGTTGAGGGAGAGCCCGGGAGAGACAGCGGTAGTTTCGCTTATTTTGTCTTAAAGCTGAAAAAACAGGACCAGTGTTTGTACCGTTGAAAAAAATATTAATAAAATTCTAGAGGAACTAAAACTATACTTGTCGTATGCAGAATTTTATATTCTATCAGAATATGTCTTAGTTTGAGCTGAAATGTTAATAGTGTTGAGGGAGAGGCAGGGAGAGACAGCGGTAGTTCCGCTTATTTTGTCTTAAAACTGAAAAAACAGGACCAGTGTTTGTACCGTTGAAAAAAATATTAATAAAATTCTAGAGGAACTAAAACTATACTTGTCGTATGCAGAATTTTATATTCTATCAGAATATGTCTTAGTTTGAGCTGAAATGTTAATAGTGTTGAGGGAGAGGCAGGGAGAGACAGCGGTAGTTCCGCTTATTTTGTCTTAAAACTGAAAAAACAGGATCAGTGTTTGTACCGTTGAAAAAAATATTAATAAAATTCTAGAGGAACTAAAACTATACTTGTCGTATGCAGAATTTTATATTCTATCAGAATACGTCTTAGTTTGAGCTGAAATGTTAATAGGGTTGAGGGAGAGCCAGGGAGAGACAGCGGTAGTTCCGCTTATTTTGTCTGAAAGCTGAAAAAAAGGACTAATATTTGTACCGTTGAAAAAAATATTAACAAAATTCTAAATGAATCGAAACTATACTTGTCGTATGCAGAATTTTATATTCTATCAGACTATGTCTTAGTTTGAGCTGAAATGTTAATAGTGTTGAGGGAGAGCCAGGGAGAGACAACGGTAGTTCCGCTTATTTTGTATTAAAACTGAAAAAACAAGACCAGGAAACAGGAAAGTATATATGATGCAGTACGAATTTTCTTATTTACTTTATGTTTTTTTCTTTGTTATACAGGAAATATACAAAAGTTATTTAAGGCTATTCTTTGTTATTTTTATTTCCTCTATATTTTACTGGTCTTTGTTTCTTGCTTTATCGTGTATATTGTCAGTTTTGTGATATTTTATATTAATAGTATTAAATAACTGTTACTTTTTATTTATAGGTAAAGTGACATTGGTTCTCGACACTCCTTACAATGAACCAGCGACCAACAGCTCCTTAGATCAATACGCAGCTGAGGTTGAAAATGAATTTAACGTAAGCATATTAGTCTTATAAAAATCAGAAAAATATTGTAGTACCACAAAATTACACAAAAGTAATTAAATTAACAATTAAATTTGGTGTCTATTAATTCATTCTATTTGGAGAGCGAATAAATGTATTTTTTTTTAATTATGTCTCATAAATTATATACAAGGTGTCAGAGAATAAGGATGTATTTATATGTGATTTCTAGCTTGGTTGGTATGCCAACCCTGTATACCTCGGTGATTGGCCTGAAATAATGAAAACCAGAGTAGCCAACAGAAGCCAACTTGAAGGATATTCTTTCTCCAGACTTCCAGCATTCACTCAAGAAGAAATAGATTATGTCAAAGGAACTTTTGACTACTTTGCATTAAATATGTAAGACTCTAAATTCTTATTTAAATAAAAACAAAAAATAACCTTGATAAATAAAAACTTATTTTTATAGATATTCTGGAACACTCACTTCATACGCGGATGATTTTCCTATAGGAGAACCTAATTTTTATTTAGATAAAGGAATGACCAATACGCACGGCGAGGATTGGACACCTTCAACAGTTAGTTGGCTGTACTCGTACCCTCCTGGTAATTACTGAATTTTCTTAAAATAAACTCAATCAAAGAAATGTATTTTAATCGTTTAGGTATGAGAAAGTTGCTGAATCTAATTTGGGATAAATACAGCCCTGGAGAAATCGTTGTCACAGAAAATGGCTGGCCCACCGGTACAAATAACACTCTGGAAGATCAATCTAGAATAGATTATCTACAGGTACAATATAAAAAGTTAATCAAAATAAATAAATCAATTTTTTATGCTTTACTTGACGCACTAAATGGATGAACCTTTGTAGTCTTTTGCCGTACCCAAAGGGTAAAAAGGGGAACTCTATTACTAAGAATTTCTATTCTCTATTTTTGGTTCATTGAAAAATTCAGTTGAAATCACCCTCTTGGTATTTGGGATTCGAGAAACCCCTCCTTATCGAACCTCTACACCCCACAGTCAAGCCGTTTGCCAAAAATCAGCTTTAAACGTCAAGCAATTTAAGCAGGATCGTGATTACTCAATGGTCATATTTTATGAAACACCCTGTATAAATTTATAAAAAATTTTAAAATATGTAAAACAACAAAATAAAATATACGTGTTTAAGAGTTTTCCGAAAAACTCACCGGTTTTTAAATAAGAAATATTTTAATATTTGAGGGATAGTTTCACCCCTTAGAATTCGAGTTTCGAAAAATCCCTTCTTATCGAACCTCTACACCCTAAAGTCAATCTGTTTTCCAAAAATCAGCTTTTTACGTCAAGCGCTTTAAGCAGGATCGTGATTAATCAATGACCAGATTTTTCGAAACACCCTGTATACATTTTTAAAAAATCTTAGAATATGTAAAAAAAACAAAATAAAATATACGTGTTTAAGGGTTTTTTTGGAAACTTGACCGTTTTTTAAATAAAAAATATTCTAATATTGAAGGGGTGGTTTCACCCTCTTGGAACTGGATGCTTATGGGGCGAATTTTCCAAAATTGTTTCTTACAAAGCTCAATTACGTTACTTTTAGAAATGATTTTTAACAAATGTGGGTACAAAATGTTTTTGAAAATAGTTTATACTATTTTTTTATTTTTTAGGGTATCTAAGTAACTTATTAGATGCCATAACTGAGGATCAAGTCAATGTCATTGGTTACACACTTTGGAGCCTACTGGATGACTATGAATGGACCGACGGGTACACTCAAAAAATAGGAATAGTACAAGTTGACTTTGACAGCCCAAATCGTACAAGAACTTTTAAAAAATCAGCCGAGTGGTACCAGAACGTCATAGCAACAAGATGTCTAGTTGACGAATGTGTCGAGTAGAATAAAAAATATATAAAACAGAAATAAAATATATTTTTGAAATTTGATTTGTTTTAATAAAATTTCCTTCACCATTTTGTCAATAAATTCATAAAAATTATTTGTATTTTTTACTGCATGTCATCGTAATCAAATAGCAAATATACTTGAGATGAAGTATGTAGGAAAAATTACACCAAAACAACAAAATTCAACACATACCTACAAGTATCCTATCATAACAGTGGTACTTCAATAACAGATAAATAATAATATGTTTTTGAATATTAGATCACTCTTGAGAAGTCTACAAAGATTTTTTGAGCCCCGTTCATATTTTTTGATATGTAATCTCAACAAATTAATTGAGATAAAAGTTTTTAAAATTATATATAAAGGTAAGTAATGGAATAAATTCTGTGATATTTTGTTCAAAATGAGGGTTCTTGGTCTGGTTCTCGTTTGCAGTTGCTTGGTTACAAGGTAATGCGAATAATTTCTATTATTTCCTCTGTTATTTCTTACTGAATTAGTATATAAGGTTATAATGTCTTTGTGTTGTTTCATCGTCATTTTTTCACTCATCTAATTACTTTAATAATTTATTTATGATATTAATGTCACATATAATAAAATTACAAGAGAACAGTTTCGTCGATATCCCCTAGCTGCTACACTATTTTCCTGTCCCAGACTATTTGTTTTTTTCAAAGAAATAAGCTTAACAGAACATTTTTTTTTAATTCTAGTGGTTTTGGAGATATTTCTAATAAAACATTCCCCGAGACATTTAAATTTGGTGCCGCCACTGCGGCCTACCAAGTGGAAGGTGCTTGGAATGAAGATGGTAAAAGGGAAAGTATATGGGACAAGTTTGTGCACGAGGACCCAAGTAAGTTAATACCAGTTGCTTGTGTACCAAATATTTAAATATAAGTTTCAAACCAAAAAAAAATTCCAAGATTTTAACAAACCAATTATAGCTAGAATACCACTGCAATCTTTTTAGATCTATATCTCGCTAGCTTGTGTGTCAGAATAAAAACCTAAAAAGAAAGTAACCCTGATTCAAAAAACTCGAGTAGTTTAGCGCTGCTTAGCTATCCTTGAAGATGTCAGTTGACAGTACTGAATTGTTTCTTTCCTGTATTATTATTCCCTTCCACAATATAAAAATAATACTAAGTAGCTAGAGTAAAAGATCAACTAAATGGAGACGTTGCATGCGACTCCTACCACAAATGGCAGGAAGATATAGAACTCTTGAAAGAACTAGGAGTCAAACTTTACAGATTCTCCATTTCATGGCCAAGAATCCTACCAAATGGTACACCAAACAAAATTAACCAGGCTGGAATAGATTACTATCGCAAAGTAACTTAATGTAAGTAAATAGTAGCAAAATTAAAGTGGTAGTAGTCTATTTTTGGGTGGTAGTAGCAAAATTAAGGTGGTAGTAGTTTATTTTTGGGTGGTAGTGGCAAAATTAAGGTGGTAGTAGTTTATTTTTGAGTGGTAGTAGCAAAATTAAGTGGTAGTATTTTATTTTTGGGTGGTAGGATTCTATTTTTGGGTGGTAGTAGCAAAATTAAGGTGGTAGTTGTACGTATTTAGGTAGTAGTAACGTATATAAGTTGGCCAGTAAAATAGAATTTCCCCAATATGTCTTTCGCTACTCCCACTCGTTCATACAGAAGAGAAATATTTCCGTACAATAAATATTTCTGGATGCGATAAACATGTTTAGCCTTTTTATGTTTACTTATTGTTAGCGTATTTCCTGGAAAAAACAAGCTGCGAGAGCACTGAAGTCATGATTACTAAATCCCGCTTAAGATTGGCTGGCCACGTATGCATGATGCAAGAAAACCGCCTACCGAAATCTCTTCTTTACGGTGAGCTGGTAGACGGTAAGAGAAAACCGGGTGGACAACTCAAAAGGTACAAGGATATTTTCCATGAAAACTTAAAGAGAATAAGCATGCAGCATCAGTGTGAAGAAGCAGCTCACAATAGAACGCAATGGAGGAGAATTGTAAACTACTGAGTTTACAATTTGGTTGTCGCTGTCTTTACTTTTTGGTTGTCGCTGTTAACTGTAACAGCAACAACCAAAAAGTAAAGAGGCAACAAAGTAAAGAGATTTTTGAATGTCCTGAGTACGGAAGAGAGATAACATCACGTATCGGGCTTTTCAATCACAGAAAAGCTCATGAAAGAAAACGCCTTGTATGACCATCTTCTGATGCGTGTCAAATACTAGTCAGCAAGTAATGGCAGTAAGTAAGTAAGTTTTACAATAAAAAGTTTTGTAGAAAAGCATTTGTTTTACTTTAACAAGTTTTGAGTATAAATATTAAATAACATTTAAAAACTTTTGGATAAATTTATCTCACTTTTGGATAAATTCTTGATATAATTTGAGCGAAGTTTCGCTATTTTTTATTTTGAAGTTGGCAACCCTAAACTAACAATACTTTGTTGTTTTATTTATTCAGATTCATGACAAAACTCAAAAAAATAGTTGTCAGATATTATTTTAGTCTTTTAACTGGAATTATTAATGTTGAATACGATAACCCCAGCAGAAAATATAAATCACAGCAATTTAGATAAAGGGTTTTATAATTTTATTTGCCTTTGCCACACATATTATCTGCGAGAGTAAATTGCATTAACATAGATATTTTCGTATCGTGGGGAGGACTTGTAGGGTTGTGTCCACGTGACTTTGCTATAAATCTACAGGAAATGTCCGTTGAAGCGTTGGTCAGATCTGATTTGCGTCCTTTATACAATGTTAACTGCCTGGTAACTTTTAATGTGTATGTGAAATGATTTATTTAGATATACTTTGATTTTTTATTGTCAAATACACTACAGACATACACAGGGTGTTGCAAGGGATCTAGGAAACGGTAAGAGATACGGGGTGGCTTAAATTGAGGAAAAGTTACCTGTTAGTAGCGATGGGAACTATCGAATGAATTAGACTATCGAATGGTTAATGAATGAATGATTTCAACTATCGAATGGTTTTATTCGAATAAAATCATTCATTCATTTGTATACTAAAGCATATGTGACAACCTCGCCGTGCGACTAAATGGTTATCGTTGAGCCACGACTATCGAATACTTTTGATAAATGAAATTTAGTATTCGTTTGATTTTTGTATGCGTCAGTGCATTATCAGTTCTTCCAAATTTTTATAACTTCACCGTATAAATACTGTGCTATTTTTGCGTTTATTAAAATAGTTAAAATACTAAAATAGTAGTTATTTTTTAATTTTATTTATTGACGATTGTGTGCATGTGCAGGTGGTCAAAATTTTTCCGAAAAGTTGTGTGGTTTTCCGTAGTCCGATCTTTCAATTATTTAATTTTATATGGTATATGGTCTATTTTTTAATGGGAAATTTTGAGAAGTAGCAATTTTTAAGAGAGATGAGATGAACTTACAATTAATTTTAAAAATACATATTTGTATTTTAGATGTTTTAATAATATGAATTAGTTGAACTTAATAATCATATTTAAGTAATGCGGTTGTATAATCATATTTAAGTAAATGGTTATCGAACTCAAACTATGGGGTGAGAAAATTAAAATGAAAGTTTTACACGTGCCAATTTAAAAAAAAAAGTTAACAATGTTTATATTTTGTTTATGCTAATTCTTTTACATGTAGTTTTTTGCGAAGAAAAAATATTTCATTTATTTTTTAAAGTAAATGCCAGTAAAAGTAAATATAATTTTTAAATAGTAATATAAAGCACCTAATATAAATAATTTTGATTTCTAATTTTTTATTTATATTTTCCTTACATTACACTGCATGCTTAGAAAATTAATAAATGTTTATATTTCATGATTTTAAAATTTGTTGTTAATATAACAAATTAGTTCTGTAATTATTATTATTTAATAAACCACCGTTGCCAAAAAATTTAGAGACTATATTATTTTTAAATAGGATCTAATATAAATAATTTTGACATCTAATTTGTTGTTTATATTTTGCTACTACTTAAAAGAAAATATTTATATTAAATGATTTTAAATTTTGTTGTTAATAGGTATAACAAATTATTATTGTTATTATTATTTATTAAACCAGTCTTTGCTAAAAAACATTAAAAATAATTTTCCTACATCCAAAATAACAAGTATTATTGCAGTGTAACAACAGAATATTAATAAAAAAAATGCAGAATAGATAGTATGTCTTTATATTCCCTAATTAACTAAAGCCAAACAATAATATTCTTTGCTAATATCAACTAATACCAAAATATGGCAACAGCGCCTTTCATAATGTATTTTCTGTGTAAATACTAGCACCTCAATAAAAAAATAATGTGTCCTTATCTATATCTGACTCCGCAAAAAATCAAAGATGCCGGCTTCTTTCATAGCATTGCCACCGACCGCTGTCGGGTTTCTCGGAAAGAAACCTACGTCGCCGGGCGACAACTAAAATTCAGTTAATATTTTATTATAATCGATCCTGACGAATGAATGAATTTCATAAATGAATGAATGGTTTTTGCTGCCGAATTACTAGAGTACAATATTTCAAGGCAGATGACGGATCTATTCGATAATTTTTATTCGAATAGTTTTCAACGAATGTTTTCTTACTAGCTATCGAATTATTCGAATGAATTGCTGAACTATCGAATGTTTCGATAGTATTCATTCGATAGTTCCCACTACTACCTGTTAGTGAGCCTGGTGATGTAGGATGTAGAATTTATGGGATAGGGGTTAATTTTTGATGATGATTTTTAAGCAATTTCTAGCTAAATTATTTGACTTTTTAGTGTCTCTTTCTAAATTAAAAATGAATGTTTCCATCTGTCAATTATTTTGATGAAAGTTTGAAATACTCTGTGGAATATGTTAACAATGAAAATCGATCGAATCATTAAAAAAAGATGAAGGATTGAAATTTGAAAAGTTTATTTAAACATTTATCAGAGTAAATGATATGGATAAATTCCTTCGACCAATTTGAGGTTTTTTCTTATCATTTCTAGATTTTTACGCATTTTTACACTTGCAAAAAGGTTGAACGATCAGTTGCGGTAGTTTGTGATTAGCTAGATAGCTGATCTGTGACTTGTGCGTTGAAGTTCTTCTCAATATCGTTAAACTGACCTACAATAGAATTTCCAAAAATTCCAGCCCACACGTTCAATTTCTGAGGGTTTTGTGTGTGCACCTCGTGAAAAACCCTGGGGTTGTCCTCAGCCCAGTACCGACAGTTGTGCCGATTAACTACACCTTTTAAAAAGAAAGTAAACTCATCCTAGAAACAAACATTAAATAGGAAATTATAATCATTCGCCACTCGTTCACTCATAGTTTCACAAAATTGCAAGCGACGATCAAAATCTAATCTAACTCGCGAACGATTTTGCCATAAAGGTGTTTGTCAGGATGGCGTTCATTGAATATCTACGCAATCCTATTGCCACATTCATTATTTTTAAAATAAAGTTCGATTATTTCCACTTTTTCTGCAAGTGAGTATACCATAATTCTTAAAAAGTTTAACGATATTGAGAAGAGCTTCAACGCATAAGTCACAGAACAGATATCTAGCAACTACCGCACCTGATGGTTCAACCTTGTGGCAAGTGAAAAAATGCCTAAACATTTAGAAATAATAAGAAAAAACAGCAAATTGGTCGAAGGAATTTATCCATATCATTTACTTACGGAAAGATAAGTGTTTAAATAAACTTTTCAAATTTCAATCCGTCATATTTTCTCAATGACTCGGCCGATTTTCAAAAACGAAGCGGGAAAGTACAGAGAATAGAAAGCCCTTTTCATTGCGGTACCACTTGACCCCCTTCCTATTTGAAAAAATTAGGGGATGACACCCCCGCTTAGAGGGTTGAAGATTTTGCAATCATTTTTGGGGCAAAAGTCGTCCCCCTCACAAACAAAATTGACGTGTTTTGAATTTTCTGAAAAAAAAAATTACCCTGGCCTTACCCTTATACTATACCTTGCGGAACGTTTTCGATGGGCTGTTTAAAACTTTAAAATACATGAACACTTTAAGGTGTCGTCTAGTTTCATCATATCAATAATTATTTAGACTCCACTACTATAAAGACTTCTTCCTTCTGCAAGTTCAAATTAAAAAGCTTTTTATTTTAGAATTAATATTGAATATCTCAGGCTTCTCGTTTGTTAGGGAGAAATCCACCCAAAGTCACGTGTGATACACGTGCCTCTTCTTTGTATCTTTTTCAACGGCTGAGTCACAATCACTGCAAAACGCAGGTCGGCTGCAGTTGGTAATTTGGAGGTTTTATCTCCAACGAATTTCGCTTAATTAAGTGGGGGAATGTATGTAACATG